AGGAGGAGGAGTAGGAGTAGGAGTAGGAGGAAGAGGAAGAGGAAGAGGAAGAGGAAGAAGAGAGAGAGGGGGACCGAAAGCGCAGAACGATCCGTAAGAAAAGCGGTGCTTGTCTGATTCTTTCGACCGTGAACGATGGCAAAGTCAAACGAAGAGGATTACGAATGCACGTTGAGCGAGGCAACGAGAACAACCGCTCGCACGGAACTCCGTGAAGACGATGCCACCAGGGAAGAAGCCTTGAAGCAATTCAGACATTGGATTCAAAAGCATCCCAAGATCAAGCGTTGCAGAACGGATGCAGTCTTTCTCCTCAGGTTCCTCAGAACCAAGAAGTTCAGCGTGCCGATGGCGGAAGAGATGCTCGAACGGTATCTGACCATCAGACAGTTATATCCGAACTGGTTTCAAAATCTCGATATCGAAGACAAAGACATCGAAGCTATTATAGATGCTGGTTATCTGGTGCCGTTGTTGCAACGTGATCGTCATGGTCGGCGAGTGATACTTTCTTGCGCCGGTGAGTATTGCCAATCTCCAATCTAAACATAAATAGTTAAACTTTTTTCTGCTCGCAAAGTCAGTTCCCTTTTTCTTCTTTGCTCCCCCCTTTACCCCTCCTTGTTTTCTCACAAATTTGACACAATTTTCTTTCAAAGGGCGCTTCGATCCTTACAAATACACGTCTGCTCAAATGGCCCGAGCTCACAGTCTTGTAGTGGAGGCTCTGATGGACGACGAGGAGAATCAAATCCATGGATACACGCACATCAACGATGAATCTGGATTAACAATGGGCCATCTTAGTGCCTGGTCCATAACAGATATTCGTAATATGTTACGATGTATACAAAACAGTACCCCGATGAGACACAAAGAAACGCATTTTGTTAATATTCCAAGTTGCGCGATCAAGGTCATCGAGTTTGGCATTTCTCTCCTCAACGATAAATTAAGAAACCGAATCTTGGTATGTATATACATGCACGTGTGATTTTCCAATTGATCACTGTGTTATGATCTCGATCAAGGTGCACAAGAGTCTAGATGAATTGAAAAGCGCGATCGATCCAGGGATTTTACCGAAAGAATACGGGGGTGAACTCCCACTTTGCGAGATGATTGGTATGTATGTACATATCGGCAATCATCGGTGATCGTTTATATCCAGAAAATGAGCATCAATTTCAGTTTCATTTTTTGTTTTCACTTTATAGCGAATTTCAAGAATACGTTGAGAGAACACAGGACTCGAATAAAGGAACTCGACGACATGTACATAGAGATTGCAGCGACGGACAGCCAATACGTCTCGAACGACGATTTATGCGGTATCTCTGGTTCTTTCCGCAAATTGGAAGTCGACTGATATTCTTCCTTTTTACCGAATGCGACTTTCCTTTGCATCCACTCGCATTCTTTCTCATACAAAAGACACTCAGACTTATTCGTTCTCTTAGATATATATATATATACATATATATATACATATATATTTGTTTTTATTTCGTGTATCAGAATTTTTCTGCCGGTGGTATTAGTTACCTATGATCGTTTCAATTTACGTACAACATAGAGTAAGATATGACGCGTTTTGCACAGTCTTAGAAAACGTACGAGTTCAAGTGTGAAACACACTGTGCACGATAACGTGAAGTGCACCGAAGGAAACAAGCATTTTTACGTGTGATTACGTTGAATGAAATTTCTTTTTAGAATTACACAATACAGATCAACTCAAAAATTAAAATACCATTTAAACGATGAAAGACCACAACGCTCTTTTTTTTCTTCCGTCTCCTCTCGTTATTACTTTTATTAATCTTCGTTAACATTTACAAGCTCGCACTCGTGTAGAATCTCTTTTAAAAATTCTGTACTCGCAGGTGCTGTAGTATAGAGGTTTCCTGCAACACACACAGCAACAATATCGTGACTGTGTTGTTAACTGAATTGTACAATTGTGCGAAATCAACAAAATGTTTAATAAAAGATTAAATGATTTGCAATTAGAAATATAATGAAGCATACGTTTATGCTTACTCACCCGAGAAATTTCTCGCATTATTATCGTACAAAATAACTTTACAATTGCTCCTATGTAATATTTTAAATCCTAAGCAACGGAAACGTTCGTCTGTTTTATAAAGAGTACTATTTTTTTGTAAATTTAAATGTGGTTGTCCACTAAATGGATTGATAAAGTCTGCCCAATAACCCATTCTTCTCAATTTTCCACAAATATCCGAAGCTGCTAATACAAACTGTGCATAGAGGGAAAAATAATTTACGAACATTGGTAGATCATTGCTTTTTTAAATATATGCAGCGTGTTTTCTAACAAAATCGACTAATCATTTATTTATACTATGTACTTACATGTTTAGCTAGTTTCTCCGTTTCTGTTTCTTTGTTCCATTTCATAACTTTCGGATTAATTGATTGACTGATAGTAACTATAGTAAGTTGTGGAGAACCAACGTCTAAACATCCGGGGAATAACTCTTCTATACCTTTTCTCAACAACAAAGGGCATTCCTGAGCTACACAGTGGAGCATCGAATGCTGCTGATTGTTCCCTTTCAAACGACTCGGTCGACGAACAGGTTTATCTTTTGAACTATTTGTTGAAATTTGTTTATTATTGCTACCAGGAAGATCGACTAATTGCGTTCTAACTTGAATGGTAGTCGTTACATCCGACCAGCCAGGTCCGATACTTCCTGGTAAATAAAATCTGAATCCCCTTGGTGTTAAGAGTTCCCAGTTCGAATTTATTCCAAGTACAGCACCGTCCACATCTAAAGATAGTCAGATACAAAAAAAGAAAAGGGTTTTTATCGGTGAGTTATCACGTAAAGTGGTGACTGTATTTACCATTTAGGTTTTCACCATTTGTCTGAACAGTTTTGTACGAATTGATGCTTTTATCGCTACGTCGAGAGTAACAGTTCTTTGAAAGTACATTGAGCAGAGTCCTGGCACTAGTTTTCTTGACATATTTTACGCAAAGCATCTGAAAATGAATTATGTCACGTAGGTTATGTATTTCTTTTTCTTTTTTATCTTTATACATGACTGGTCGACGAATACATAGTTGCCAAACAATTGTCATTGAACTCTGTCGTTCAATAATCGTTTATAACTGCGCCAGAATTAAATTACTGTCATTAAAAGAATATATCGTTACCGTTAAATCACGATTCACATGCTGAATTGAAAGCTTCTTTATCGAAGATACCGTTTTTGCGATTCGATTATCTAACCTTACGTTTGTTTGGTTCACTTGATACATCCAATTACACACGCAATGTCATTAGATGCAACATCATTTATATATGTATCAAATATCAATCGAGTCTCAATGAAATAAACGCAAATTATTTCATCACTAGATGGCAAACGAAATGTTCATCTTTTCCAATTTCTATGTTACAATCATTGACTAAAGATAGGATAGACACGTCAGAAATTAGTTTGTATCTCATATTTTGTAATACTGATTTCGAAGAAGCATCAGATTCTGTCCTTCCGTTTTCTCAATCGTCGGAATCGATGAAATTAATATCTATAAAAAACATCTTATAATATGTGGAAAAATAATTCAGGCATAGATTATTTTGGTTACCCTAGTGACAATGACTCAAGACACGATTTTATTCGTTTAATAAATAATAGATAACAGTAACCTCTAGATATCTACATATTTTTAGCATTGTACTTGCGACATTAAATATGTTTGTTCATTGCACTAGAGTCGAGTTTCCAAGCTTTGTAATCAGTGTGTCAAATCGAGGAACTGCAGCCTCCTCCGAAAGGAGGAGGTGAGATTCTAGTAGTCTAGCGTCCTTGATAATCCGATTCAACGGTTCCCCGGAATCCCGCTATCTCGTTGGGGTTAGACTACTCGTCTCTAAATGCTCGAACCTCGATTTGGCGTCGATTCGGCCTCGATTTCAATGAATAATGTTCTACCACAGACGAAATAAATGATTGGACATTATATCTTAGCATTGACTAACAGAATAAACCGGACATCCAATGCTTTTTTGTGTTCCACGTTTCGGGAGTCCATCTTGATCCCCTTATCATTTTCGTGTCAAATTCTGTCATAACGACTATCGGTAAGTACTGCATCACAGCGCTATTGGCGATAGAAATTAAAATAAAAAAACATAAACAATATTGCCGGTTCCTCATCGAAAATTACATTTCAAACGTTTCTCAATAATCTTTTTCTTAAACAATATTCAACTTAAACAAATTAAGAAAAAATTTGGTGCAATGTGAGATATCGAAATGGCATTTATTTGAAAAACAAATTGATCCATTTTGTATCAAAATTAAGCTTTTAATGCACATCTAAAGCCAAGATTTCCAGCTGTCGTATCTGGAGTATTTTGGCTTCGAGCAGCGCATCTATATCGAAAACAGTAACTCTTGTGACAAAGATAAGAACCGCCTTTCTTTACTTTGTCTGTACTGTGAGGTGGACCGTTCTGAAAGTAGTTTCGTATTATAAGGTTGTTATAAAAAAAAAAGAAATAGAATTTAAAAATAAAGAAAAAAATATTGAAAACATATATACAGGATTATTAGGTCCGCCACGTGCTCTGGTTTCGATTGTCCACCAATCAAATGTCCATTCCCAAACATTCCCTATCATATTACGTAACCCGTAATTATTTGGCGGGAATTCTGCAATGGGCGATGTACTTTCGTATCCATCTTCCTTAGTATTATTATTTGGGAAATCACCTTGCCACGTATTCGCTCTGAAAATTATTTTAATTAAATAGAATTAAATTAATTTTTTATAAAAAATTATTTACCTATGTTGACCGTTCGGAGTAAATTTATTTCCCCATGGATATAGTTTATCCGACAGTCCTCCTCGACATGCAACTTCCCATTCGGCTTCCGTAGGTAATCTTTTTCCTAACCATTCGCAATAAGCAGTGGCATCGTTCCACGATACGTGAACGACAGGGTGATCCATTCTGTCTAAATTATTCAATTTTATTTTCTTTTGTCTCCAATTGTCGACCAACTGGAAAAATAAAATAGAGTAAACATACTCTTTATATCAGAATCAGGACCCTCTGGATTTTGCCAGTTTGCATTTTTCACTTGTAACCACCAAGGCGCTTGAGCAACAGCGTGCGTTATATTCGCTCGAACTTTTTCTTCTAACAGACCTCCAAATACGAATGAATCTCCAAATTTTTCCGCTTCTGTTCGATGATTAGTCGCGTGAACAAATCTTCCAAAATCACGATTGCTCACTTCCATCTCGTCTATGTAAAAACTATCTAGATAAATTTGTTGTTTCGGTCCTTCGCCGTCAGCGACGAATACAGGATCGTTTGTACCGATCGTGAAAGTGCCCGCCTTTATTTTGACCATATTTTTTAAACGATCTCTGTGATTCGTAGCAGTATTTTCGTAAGTATGAAGTGGATCATTCGCTAAACAATAATCATCTGCTTTATTCTCGTAGAAGTTCTCTGTGGTGGTTTGCCTGCTATGGCTGCAACCACCACAGCGAGAAGATTCTTTAGTTGAATCATCTGTTTTGAAACTTGCCGTTACAGTGCATAATGTAATAATTATGCTTGTGCAAAGAGACAATATTGCTGATTTTTGCCACGTTATACTCGTCAAATCTTTCATTTTACAATGTATTGTGTAATTGATGCATATAAAATCAATAAATTAATTTAATTTGACTGGTGATTGTAAGAAACGAATACCTATAAATTCGTGGTTCGAGGAATGTTATGATCAATGATGAAACTCGTCATCTTGAAGAAGTAAACACACATACGTAAATTAACGATAGCGATGTGTCAGCCTCGAATCTCTATATTCGTGTAGTAAGAAAACTGGAAATCCCTAGCTAGCTTAAATTAATTTTCGTCTATTAGTTGGTAATACTTCAGTCATGGAGCGAGAATGATCATAGGGAAATCGATATCACTTTCTCATCGATACATCGATTCCTTGGTATCGATGTGCAATATGCATATGTGTAATTTGTACGTGGAACATAACCTATCATGAAATGCCACGTACCGTTTATCCGTAATTTACGTACGTAGAATGTCTCGAAGACTTTTTCGTTCATCGTGACAGTGGCTTACAACCGAAATAGTAACAGTATAATAGGATTGTTTAGTCCAATATATCGTCGCTATATATTATATATAGCTACAATGGCTTCCTCAAGACGTTTCAAACTGTTGTTTTACGCTCTTGGCATTTTTGTATGTTATTTTCATTTTGGCATGTTGCAAGAGAAGATCACACGAGGACAATACGGAGATGAAAAGAGCAGTGAAAAATTTACGTATATGTTTACGTTAGTTTTCTTCCAGTGTCTAATTAATTATTTATTTGCTAAGACTAGTTTATTAACGATTATGAAACAGGGCGAGGATACTACTCCAAAAACTTATTACGCACTCTCTGCCCTCACTTATTTACTTGCCATGGTGTGCAGTAATATGGCATTACAATTTGTCAGTTATCCAACACAAGTGATTGGAAAAGCTGGTAAACCGATTCCTGTGATGATACTCGGTGTACTACTGGGGAACAAGGTATTTTGCTTTGCCTTTTGATTTGTGTATCATTTGCAAATTCTGTGGTGTTTTTACCGATTTTAATTTCTCTTTTCTTTCATATTATTATTTTACAAGGAAAGAAGATTTTTAGAATCTATACATATATATATACATATATTTTCGCATTTGTACATTTACACAATATATTTGTAATAATTTATAACAATGGAACGCATTATCTTGCAGGTTTATCCAATTAGGAAGTACTTGTTTGTATTCTTAATAGTTATTGGCGTAGCTTTATTTATGTACAAAGACGTGAATCCATTGAAAAAACATTCCGAGGGACAAACGGGCTTTGGAGAACTATTGTTATTACTTTCATTGACAATGGATGGTTTAACTAGCGCTGTACAAGAAAGAATGAGATCTGAACACAATCCGAAATCTGGTCATATGATGTTGAATATGAATGGCTGGTCTGTGATGTTTAGTGGCATAGTCATCCTAGTCTCTGGAGAGCTTGTAGAATTTATTCAGTTCTTACAGAGATACCCTTTTACCATATGGCATATAACTACCTTTTCCATAGCAGGAGCGTTCGGACAATACTTTATATTTCTCACCGTTGCGGAATTTGGTCCATTACCATGTTCTATTGTAACTACGACTAGAAAATTCTTTACAGTCTTAGGTTCAATACTTATCTTTGGTAATAGTCTGACCTCTAGACAATGGTTAGGTACGTTTATAGTATTTTCGGGGCTGCTTCTAGATGCAATGTATGGTAAAGACAAGTCTTCTAGAAAAGATGTAACGAAGTAGCAAATGAACGCGGGCACGTTACCCGAGGGATCCTAATTCTTTGAATAGAGGGTGATTTCTTATTTTGAAACTTATTTGCGCTGCTGGTCGCGTTATGGCGAGATTCAAGCTTAGGGACATTACACCATGAACAACTATGTGTACTGTCTTTGGCTTCCTTAACTTCGCTCACTATCGGCGTTTACGAATGTATACACGTACAAATTCTTTCTTTTTTTTTATGGATATATACAGTAACAGCTATATGCTAACATATACTTTATATTATTACTATAGCGATGCCTGTGGTTTACTTTCAAGTTGCTATTCCGCTGTATATAGTTTTCTTATTTTTATAATGACCGAATGTACGAGAGTACGTAACATCGAATTTAATTTCCTTCATTGTATGTAAGTGTATGGCTGCCGCTGTATATCATACATGTGTGTATGATGCGTGCTGTATGTTTTAGAACTTGCGTGTAACTGCGTATGTATTATACCAATCAAAATAGCATACATTTGTACGCCTAACGTTCCACTGAACGTACTTCCTTCGTTTTATATCTCTATTTCATTCGAATATCTGACAGTTACAGTGTCCTTTTCCCGAATCATGTCACACACGTAAGCGCCATTTGCGGGGAAAGAACGTGGACGGTATCACGACAATGCACGTGATAAAAAAGAAATCGATTATTACGAAATAAAGGAAAACTACAATCATTCGGTACATGATTTGTTTATTTTCCCTACTTTGCTATTATTTACTTTTGCTGTTGTTTCTGATTGGCATATCTCTATCGGATCAACAGCATCAATTTCACACACAGGGAGCAACATATTTGCAGGGGAAATTTACATATTCACCGTATTCACCGTATTCGCCAAGTTGATGAAGAAGTGAAGAAGTGAATAAATGAATTTAGCGAATTTGAGGAATCTCTAGTTTCGTAAAAGCGCAAAATCATTATTTTTTTAAAATCGGAATCCGTTGTTGTTATCGACACTGACGGCGACGCCGACGATGGTTAAATAGATAATAACTACGTCTGAATGAGCTTTAGGAAGGGAGCGTAATCAGTTAAACGTAATGTATCATAAATGCGCAGACCACTTCTCAAAAAGTAGTTTAACGTATTTCAGCAAACAACACGCATATATGTATACTTAGATCAGAGGATATTAAATGAAGCGCGAAATGCATGTACTTTTACTGAAAAGTTGTGCGTATACTGCTGTATTATCGATATGGTTACCGATTACTTGCGCGCTTCTTGCAAACGGTAAGTCACTCATAATCACAGTGAATTTAACGCGTGTGTTAAGTCAGTTTGATATCGACATACGCGTTATAATTTCCTCCGTCGTCTCGCAATAAATATTTGTGCATATAAATTTGTCTTCTTGTCACGAAACAACACCGGCTCATCAATGGAGATGAATGCAGCACGTAATTCAAAAAACGGACACGCTGGGAATTTTATCCGGGAATAGTATCGATTGTCTCGGCGTACGCATCGTGTATCTCCGTTAGCGCGCTCGAATATTCAAATTGGCCAGTTCTAGAGTAGAAATTCGTCGCAGACAAACTGTCGTTCGTGTTTGAAAAACATGTTTTTTTACCACCGCAGAAGAAAGAGAAAGAAATATTTCGCTTGTAGAATCGTTGCCGACTGGCTTGCCAAACGGTGCGCTTGTCGAAGTGCGCGACACGAGTCAACCGATACTGACTACGAGAAAGAACAGAGTCGAAGAGACGAAGCAAATAACGGGGAACAACGACGAAGAGGCATCTGATAGAAACGAGAAGAGGATAAACTGCACAGATCGTTCTATATACGATTTCCCGGATGACCTGTTCACGTACGAAGAACGTCGCCACGGAGCGGTGGTGTTGCACGCTTTCCTAGCGCTATACTGCTTCCTGTTGACGGCGTTCGTTTGCCATGATTATCTAATACCGGCTGTCGATCGCATATGCGTTAGCATGAACATAAGCACCGACGTAGCTGGAGCGACGTTTCTCGCAATGACCAGCTCATTTCCCGAATTATTCGTCAACGTGATTGGTACTTTTCTAACGGAGTCGGATCTTGGCGTCGGCACCGTGGTCGGTAGCGCGGTATTCGACACTTTTGCAACTCCGGCTTGCGGAGCGTTGACTGCCTTCTCCGTAAGTATTACACGTGCACACACATGTGTAATATATAATCGTTAACATATCGTTACAGTATCCTCGATGCTATATATACGATACGGTAGAACTTCGTTTACGTGGGATTCTTCTTCTGTTTGTTTGGCCTGGATTTCAATCGATGCTCGATTCAATGAATTGTTTGCTTGTCCGAAGATTTTTTTCTTTTCTTTTTTCTTGCTGAAAGATTCTATTTCGTACGAACGAGAAATCGCCGATCAGAAAGAAAGATCAATGGAATTTTTATTTATTTCAATTATATAAACTATTTGTTCGATAGCTTACGTACGTACGTAGAATAGAGTCTTATCGCGCCTCTGTTTGTATAGTTTAAAATAATTGTCAGATGATTACGAGAAACAAACGATAATTGAATATGAAGTGGTTCGTATACATACAACATGTACGTATAAAGAGAAAAAGAAACGAAAACTAAGTAAATCGATTATCTCGTCCGTTCGATCTTCATTCGTCACAGTACGGAGTTTTAGATAAAGGACGATAAGCATCCCGTTTAAGTATATTTAGATCGATCGTATCGAATATCTATCTCTTTTATTTATCTTCCATTGACCTTGTTGTATTGTACAATTATTTCTTTCATGATTCTCATGTATCTCTACACTTGAGAATCACGCAAGGGAGTTGTCTCTGAAAAATCCATCATTTCCAATCCAATTCCTATTTGTTTCTAATTCACGTTCTTTCGAATTTAGGCGATACCCTTAGAATGGCGAATATTATCGCGAGATTGCACAATGTACGTGATATCTGTTGGAACATTGGTAGCAATAATGTGGGATCAACGGATTGAATGGTACGAAGCGATGATATTGTTAATATTGTTCTGCATTTACCTAATTTTGCTGTTTTGTGGCAAAGGTATTAGATTATGTTGCGGTAAAATCCTTCCTTCTAATCCCGAATCAACGACGGAGTGTAAGTAACGATTCTCCACTAACTCGTCCGTTTTGTCCGTTTTGCTTTTGGAGAAATAATAATTCGTTGCAATTGTAGCCTCCAACGTTGATGAGAAATTGCCCCGCAATGGCACGTATAAACTGCACGCTCTGGATAATGTCCCTACAAATTCTAATTTGGAAAGTCAGCAACAAGACGGAGCAGGCGATCTGAAAAATGCAGAGAGATTGGAGAATCCTTCTGTTTCTGGTATGTATCTACGCCATGTGTGTATACTGGCCAAAAAGTTTGGATGTCACTTACTATACTGTATACAATGAGAATCAAAAGGCTATATATCTAATAAAAGTAAGGTTCGTATAATATTATTAAGAGCGAGATAATATAGTAATATATTCATATTCATAGCATGAATAGTAAAGATAACAATGTATAGTAATAAGTAATATTCATAGCACGAGCAGTAAAGATAACAATGTAAAGTAAGAAAGCAATGTATAATATTCAAACGTGTGTAAAGATACATGCAAAAAACAAAAAAATATACTAGAACTAAATGCAACAAATTTACAGCCCTTGGAGATGGCGAATAAATTAAAAAGTTAATTTTTAGTAATAACAGGTGCTAATATACAGATTTGGATATTTACATATCGTAAAATTGAATTTAGCTGTAAGTATCATTAAGTTTGCTTCATGGATTCATGGATCTTTGAAACAGAAGACTGAGAAATTAATTGCTATAGAACACTTCAAATGATCAAATCCTCCATCATAGTCTTCAGAGTCTTAAAGTTAAACTAGTCCAAACTTTTAGCTATCATTTAGTATACACATGTGCTGCATTCGTATGATAATTTCGAATTAAATAAAAAGTTAAATATCAACGTGTACGTACGTATTGTTCCCTTCTATTTATTCGCAGAATATTTATTTACCTGGTCAAAGGAACGAACCATGATCGCAAAGTGTTGGTTCCTGTTTTGCTGGCCATTGAAATTTTTGCTGTACGTAACGATACCAGATGCCAGGATAGAACGATTGAAACATTGGTATCCATTGACGTTTATCATGTGTCTGATTTGGGTCGGCATATCTTCCTACTTGGTCTCTTGGATGACGACGGTTGTCGGTGATACCATAGGTATCCCCGACTCCATTATGGGCCTTACATTTCTGGCAGCTGGTGGAAATATGCCGGAAATTGCATCCATCGTGATTTTAGCCAGACAAGGTAATAAACTCGTCGATAATCTTCTCTTCTATCAAAATCTCTTATCTGTTATATTGTTAAATATACATACGCACATAAATTTGCTAGTTGCTAGTTGAACAAATATTAATATTTGTATCTCTCTAGGGGACGGAAACATGGCGATGAGCAACACGTTAGGGGCAAATATTCTTGATATATTGCTTTGCATGGGCTTACCGTGGATGATAAAGTGTCTAATGAGAGGAAAAGACGTAGAGATCGTATCAGCATCTATATCCTACAGTGTACTTTCAACTGTTGTTTGCATAGTGATTCTCTATGTAGTTATAGCGTTGTTCAATTTTAAATTGAACAAACAAGTAGGAATCATATGTCTGTTGCTTTATACGATATTTTTAATATTCGCCATTCTCGTAGAGATGAACGTTTTCTATATCGCGAATTTACCAATGTGCGATTACGCCAATTGATTAATTCTCTTCGTGTAATTTTTTTTTTTTTTTTAATCTCATAAATCTCATTAATCTCGAAATTTCTTTTATTAATTTCGTTCATGGAAAATGAGAAACAATTTCCTAGAAATTCAAATATCGTCTGTCTGTGCCCTTCGCGAGTATTAAAGACGTTGAACATGTAGAATATCGAACTTACGTAGACTATCGAAACTCGTCGATGACAGCAAAGCTAACGATTAAAGATCGGAGCAGCGACAGACAGCTACGAGTATTAGTGAAAATTGAAACAAAAAAAAAGAGAAAAACAATATAGGTATGACGAACACCAAATATATACCTAAATATGTGTCGATGATATTAACCCATCACAAAGCGGAATATTTTGTCAGTAATATCTACAAAAAGACGCGCAATAATCCGCGGCTAGCGACTAAAAGTTTTATATTTATTAATATATAGATTATAATCTATGAATGTGAATTACCGGTAAATTGTGTAGTAAGCCGAATTACTGTAATATATATTTAAAAAGAAAGAAAAAAAGAAATGGTTCAGTTAAAAAGTGAGTAGTGAAATTGATTTTTTTTGGGGCGGGTAGATGCATAAGCATTTTTTGAAATGGTACCAACGTGTAATTGTATTGATCTATTTATGTCGAGAAGCTATTAGTATTTAATAGATATTTTTAACTAAAGGTAACATGTTTACAAGAGTACCGCTCTTGTCTTTCATAGATATTTTTATGGATTTTATAAAATCTCCAAGATTTTTCATACAAGGCTCAATACTTTTTCCTTTTATAAGGAATATACGATTTTCTGAACCATTTTTTTTACAACCGGTCGTACTTTGTTTTATACTCTGATGTAATCAGTCAGTATCGAAGGAATAGTGAATAATATTTAAATCCGGATTAATCACGAATGATCTTGTATACTATATGATACGTACATGTGTTGGTTCAAAGTGTAATCGAAATCGATGACGTGGATGGATTGAAATTCGATGGGAGGAGAGAGTAGGGAAAGTAGGAAGCTCGAAGCTGAAGCGGATCGAGTGCGACGATGGCTACGAGTTACCTACGTCAATCAATAGTGAGATGTATATTTTTAATAAAGAATAATTTATTTTTCGCATCCGCGGTGAATGAATTCGACGAAAGAAGGATATTTGTCGGCAATCGGTCGAGCACATTGCATTCTTGCGTACGTATGGCGATACAGTTGGTTCTGGCATTGATAAAACGCGCGTACGTCGCCACGTTATTGATGAAACGCACACGCACACGCACACGCACACGCATA